TATAATATATAATAAATATTAATATATTTAATATTATTAATAATAAGTTAATATTATAATAAATAGTAAAAAATTTAAAAAGGTTAAATAATAAAATAAATTAATAATTTATTATAAACTTTATATATATTTATAAATAAAAGAAAATATGTTAATATTATATATGTTATTATAATAAGGTTTTTTAAATTATTATAATAGTAACTTTTTTAATTTTATTAATTTATATTATTAAATTTTTAATAATATTAATTAATATTAATAAATACGTATATATAATATAAAATAATAAATAAATAAATTAAATAATAATAAAGGTAAAATTAATATATTAATAATATTTAAAAAAAGAAAAATTTATTTAAGGTTAATTAATATATAATATCTTTTTATATAATAATAATGGGTATATTATTCCTCTTTCTAATATCGGTAATAAAGCACTTTATCACTAATAAAGTGCTTACGCATTAATGTCATATAACCACCATTAAAAATATTATATAATTTTATAACGTATTTAATATTAAAAAATTAATTTTATTAAAAAATAAAAAATAAAAAATTTAAATTAATTTTTTTTATTATAATATATTATAAATTAATTAAATAATATATTATTAAAATACGTGTATTATTTTAAATATATATATAAACTACTAACCCGTGTGAACTGCTAACCCGTAGTGTACGTTAAATTAACAATTTATAAAAACTAACGGAAGTTAGTACAATATATAATACATTATAGTACAAGGAAAACGTTTATCCCATGAGACGCTTCCACCTGGACAAGTGCAATACAGCGCCCGCCGCCCAACGCCTCCAAACCCTCCAATGGCTAGCTACTTGTCGGTAAAAGCTGGGAATTACCAAGGAAGACCCATCCCATGCTGCCCGACCTGCATTAAAAAAAACGGCCTTATGCGTTATTCCTAACCGAATTGATCCTACGGCTACACATTATGCGCCTCGTCCTCGATCAAGGGTTTAAGGATCAGGGATGTCGAAATAGCGGTCTCGAAACTCTTCGCTTGACTTATCCAGTTAATATCGTCGATTTTCAAACTGTAACCCGTCGCGTGGCGATCTGATTTATATATATATCTATATCTACCTACCTATATATAATAATATAAAGCTGACCTCAGCTTTTAGAACGTTGCACACTATTGGTGGCGATTGCGTGTCAAATTTGCAGCCTTAGGTTGTGGACGAGTAGCACAGAAGCAGAAGCAGAAGCAGAAGACTTACCATTAGAAAGGAGGTAGTAAATAGATCATGTGCCTGGGTATCTGTTATGGTATATGCCATGGATCAATGCATGCCTCAAAGTTTAGCTGCATTAATTCGTTCGGGGAGGCGTCAACCCCCCAATCAAAAATATTCCTATGCAACACTACAGACGGCACTACAGACGGCACTACAGGCTTGGTGATTGCATCTCCCACAAGTGGCGTCTCTGGATCATGATTATCCGGCAATTCCTATGGCATCACCGGGGATACCAATTGGACAACCTCACGATTGCGCGCAGGTATCTGTACGAACCGCTCCGACGATGAAGATGGCGAAATATCTACTGATCAAGTAGAACGAGTCACATAGACACCTCAACTCATGATATGCCATGACAAAAGTCTATTCCGCGGATTCCTCTTTTCAATTGATGAATTCACTTCATCTATAACGAATTCTAGCTATTTCTGTGGGTTCCGGTATTGCGTCCATATTCTTAAGACGGCTTTAATGGACCCATACGGGTATGGCTTGCTGCATGACCAAATTCTTTCTACGTTCGGTACCCGGATTTGCCAGCTCGTATTATTTTTAATAATGCGTCGTTATGGTCACATAATGGTCGGTTCCCCTGTCGAAACAAGTCTTAACAATCCTTGAGCATACCAGCTCAGATTCCTGAACGCCAAGACCCGTTGATGGTATCATAAAACAAAAGAAAGCAATCCCACTAGTCCTCATATTGTTTGACTCTTATCGTCGGTAGTCATATGTGGTTTTGCCTTCAGGGGAATCAGGAAATGCCATCTCTTTATCGTCAAGGCGGATCTGTCCCATCTTACATCTCCGAAGATCATGAGTCCTATTAAAAAAAAAAATTAGATTGCCAAGCCAAAAAAAAAATCAGTGTCGAATGAAATATACCTGTGTCGCATCGCATTCAAAAGCATAGCCGCGAGGACCATGATGAAGGCAGCAAAGGGAAGTGCAAACATCATCGTGTCCGCGGCCTTACGTACGCAGCGGAAACGCAAAACCTTATCTTGGGAGACATAGGGAAGATAAGTCCATGACTCGCGCTCTGCCTTAGTTTCAAGCTCCACAATGGTTTCCTGAGGCTCGGCTTCCATCATATTTCCGCGAGTCTCCTCCCTTATGATGCTTGACTCGGGGAAAGGTGATTGCTTCTTCGGGTGGGTGAATGATGTTAGAAAAGCGAGTACGTGAGGAGTTTCCCAGGATTTGGCCCCGGTGAGGTTTTCTGGCAATTGAACGCGCTGGCCATCTTCAGCCACGACGATCTTGCTGTGCTTCTCAATTGAAATTCGTGAAGGTGAAAGAGAAGATATGAAGAGAGCTGCTCTCGATAGAAAATCTACCTGGTGTGCTGTCTGTCGTGCGTGCGTTGATGCGATACCAGATTGGTTCGGGGTCTTTTCAAGCGTATTTATCGGTGCTGCGAAAGCCAAGGCTACGAAGGCGTAGGCAAATAAAGCTGGCGTCGATCCTTTCATGGTGGGTTGCTGGTTTTCCTTATCTAAAAATGCCCAAGTTTTTGTTCTAACCTATGTAGTTTTAAGTGTCAATAAAGAGTGAATTGGTTAGATAGGAATTGTACAAGAATAAATATTTTCGAGGGAAACCCAAAATAAAAGAACCAAAACATGAATGAAACAAGAATAAAAAATATTATACCTTCTTCGTTCAAATAACTTCTGCGATAGCGTTGTTGGTGTGGTAGTAGTGATGAAATCGTCGGGATGCTTGTAAGGGTGTAGCTGATACGTCGGCGGGTAGGTGGATAGCTGAAGCTACAGGTGTAGTAGGTTTGGGTTTTTTTTTTCTTGGCACTCGGGTTACTGAAGGCAGAGGGCTCCAAATATGTAAGGAACGCCAAGCTAGAGTGAAGAAATTTGTAGCACGTCGTTTTATCTAGTAGTGGGGTGACTTAAAGTGAGGATGGAAAGGAGATACGAATTAAACATGCGTTTTCGATTCCAGGTTTAAACCGTTGACAGGTTACACATGTAGTCACACGGCAGCGACTTTGATAGAAAATTCAATTGAAAAGAGAAATGGAGGCTTGGCCTTTCTTTTTGTAAGTGACACCACACGCCGGATTGACTTGAGGGATCCATGCCTATTAGAGGTGTAGGAGTTGGGGTTCAGCAACCGACACGATGATGATCAATTTATTAATATGCGGTTAAAGCTACCCGTCCATAGTTTCCACGCTTCCACACTTTTCCTCCTTCGTGTAAGTATTGGTATTGTGCTGTACCTGTCCCGCATATTTATGTGGTTGGAGACACTCTCAAACTACTATTAGCGTTCCATGTCTTCGATACAGGGTTCGACACAGGGTTCTACGAAACTGGACAAATTCGCTAGCATGTCGCACCAAAATCATCTTCGGTGTTAGCTTTGCATAACTTGTAATTCAGGTAGATCTTTTACGTGCGAGTCCTTTTTTGTTTCTTTAGATCAACGCTAGGATCATTCTATGTAATAAGACAATTATCAGCTATGACGGCATTAGGAATACTGCGCCTCACGTAAACACCGTAGTTACCAATATATATGTTCACCGTATTTACAATAGGATTCGGAAGATCAGGAAGATCAATTCAACGCATTGTATTCGACCTACCTAACATCTAGCTACCCTGCTACGGGAGACACAGCCAGTCACATACTACCTAAGTAGCAGGCACCTACCTAAGGTAAATAGCCTACTTCCTCAGGAAGAGACACACCCGTGCGCGCCTTAGGTATGTGCTCTGAGTCTCAAGTGCTTTACTACATAATGGTATGAAGGCTAAGTAAAACCACCGTTATAAGTCTCCCGCTCTGGATGGCAGCGCGTTTAACCTTTTTCAGCGGTACCTGACAGGGTGGATTTAGCGTATTTTGGCCTGGCACCATACCTAGTAAAGCGCTATTCGTCACCAGACCAATCACCTTTGAGCGGCGACCGAATCTGGTAAAAGCCAGGCGGGGTGTGTTCCATTTTTAGCCACGTCTAGGCCCTTGGCATTATTGTAGAAGAGCTCGGCATATTGTGTTATGGTATTGGAATTGACTGACTAACTACCTACCTAGGTACCTACCTTCTGTAGGTAGTTAAATCAATAAAGCTTCGATGATATTACTACGGCATTTTGATAATACGCTTCTATAAGTTCTTAGTCTGTTTGTAGGACGGCAGGTATGGCAGCAAATATACCGTAGGTAATACATAGTATATTATGTGCTGTTTGATGGTACAGAAGCGCCTAGTTCAGGGCGTGGGCATCTGTGTATCCTTTACCTGATGAAATCAGTAAATAAACTCAAATTGCCGCAGCCTCATAGCGAAAAGAGAAGTAGGATGATCGCTGTACAAACATCAGAAACCGGATTGGTAGTGTAGGTAGGCCTAATATCCTTGTCTGACTGTAATCCCCGAATGAATGCAGTATGTCAAGTGATCTGATGAAGACTGAGTTGGGCGTAGTATGCTTTGCGGAAACATCCGCTGTTTCCTAGTATGGGGTATGTTTGGTGCCATTCGATTATAGTGTATCTACTACCTATATAGTATCAGGTTTGAGGCCTAGATGTCTCGTATCGTGTAATTAGAGTTTATAGTACGGATCCGTATCTTACCAGCTTAAGTGTGATAGCCACGTCGGTTCCCTCTTCCTTTAAGACAGCCGAGAGCTAAGCCCTAGATTGGAAGGTGTAACGCGAACTATAGGGGGTAGCTTACCTACATAGTAGGTCTAGCCAGCTGCTAAAAATCCACAGGACCCAGCCCTATGATAGATTTTCTATCGTGGAGATGGGTCATTCTCGGTTTTAAATTTAATACTAGCTATCTTGAACTGATATCATAGTATGTTCTTGATGAATTCGGAGAGAACAGAGAATATCTTTTTTTTTTGTTTCAATTTTCTTTTTCCTTGTTACTTAAATCTCTACTGGTACAAAGTTTATAAGCAACTACCTATCTCCTACCTAAGGTAATCTAATAAAATAACAGACGATAGGTACATAACAGACACGTATCCCGTATCCCGATTACCTCTAATGCGGATAAATATGTGGTCCCGTTATGTGACTGGCAGGCTTAGCTAGATTCTGGTCTGTGCACATACCTACCCTAAGATTCCTATCTTAGTTTTATCTGGGCAGCTGGGGTCTCAATTGTTCGGTTAGCACCTTAGCACCTCACTCGTGCATGTGTGATTATACATCATCCTTTATAACCATGTCTATTATCACGGGCCAATAGAATAGGCTACTCTATAGCCTTGTCATTCGGCAATATCTCATCAACTAACCCCGGACAGAACAAAAGATGGCACATCCTCCAAATCAAGAGTTGTCTGCGACAACAGAGGAACCAAGGCACGATCGCGATGGACCTCAACCTGGGTTAACACGCGCCGCCACCTTACCTGCCGAATTTCTTTCGCAACGGACCGCTCGATCTCACTTGGCCCCTGAAGATGCTTTCAACGCAGCACGGCTCTCGCGAAGACAATCAGGCTTCGAGCCTAACGCAGTTAACCAAAGCCGCCCTGAATCGCGATCGCGGAAGATGAGCTCCAAACTCGGGAGTAGGAGTAGAAGCAGGCGACGGAAACGCACTTGGAAGAAATTACTATGGGTCAAGCAGTCTTGTATGGAATTGTCCTTCGGTTGACTACCTCGCACCACATCGCATCGCACCGCTGTTAACAGCTTTCTTCCAGACCCGGATAATTACACGGACCAGGCCACGTTCCTCGAAAACCTGCAACGGAACCCGCGTCTTCAGCCCTACGAATTCTGGCCCCTCGTCGCCGACTCGACCGTTATCCTCCAGCAAGTATGTTCTGTCATCATATTCGTCGTCTGCTTTGTCGGAATATTCCAAGAGCGTGTGTCACCTGTCGCCGTCGTGGGCTGGGGTAGCTTCGCGACATTTGTAGGTTGGCTGCTATGGGATTTCTGGGTGGGACAGGAAGACGAGGACGAGGTACTACTGCGGCGCCGAAGCAATCGCAACCGCTCGATACGGGAACCTAGTAGGAGAGGGCGATCAGTTGCTGCGGGTACGTCTGCTATGAGCTCGGTAACGAATTTAGCGGTAACGGAGCGATACCCCCAGGGGAACCCAATTGCAATACGGCAATCCCATTCCACTTCTGCCATTTCCCTGCAGTCCAGCGCATCTCAAGCGAGTAACGTAGGTAGGAGGTCCTCCGAGTCCATCGATATGCCGAGCCATCGTCCTTCGTCTCCCCTCCGTAACGGAAGGGCCAATCTTCGCCTCAGCACCGTGAAGTCTGCCATCCTCATTTATTTTACCCTTCTGGGCTTATCACCCATTTTGAAGTCCCTTACGCGGTCTACGTCATCTGACAGTATATGGGCCATGTCTTTCTGGCTATTGGCGATAAACATATTCTTCCATGATTACTCTTCAGGGCCTGTGAAATTTCCAGCCTCCCTTTCAACTAACGCGGCGTTGATGGCATCCACGGTGCTAGCCTCCCGCTTGCCATCCACCGGGCAGGTCTTTAGCCTTACGTTATTCAGCATTGAGGTGTTTGGCTTATTCCCTGTTTTTAGACGCTACGCTAGACACCGGAGCTGGAATTATCATGTCGCGCTATCCATATTGCTTGTGATTGGAGCGGGAGGTGGAGTCGGCCTAATAGTAGGCGAAGAAAAGGATGCGATATGGCCGTGGAGAAGCGGTCTCCTAGGTGTCTTAGTAGCAGCTATTATCGCTGTCGTTGCTATGGGCGGATGTAGTTGGTGGCTTATTGGGCTTCAGAAGTATAAAAATGCCATTAATGGACCTTGGGACCAAGCAAGACCGATTATTATTAGTCGGCGGCTGTGGGAAGACGAATAGAATGAAATGAATGATTTTATAATGAAACTACCAAGCACCTTTGGGGGGAGCATATTCTTGAGCAACATGTTAGAAATATATAAGTCTAAGCCCATGGGTTAGGTGAGGTATGCTGCAATGTACCTAGGTAGGTATTGTAATTATCATAATGCCGTACCTACATATTGGGTCCTATGCACGTGGCAAGGCGTTGTTATTAAGGTTAGAACATTAGGATCGTAGTAGGCTCCGGGTACCTAGGACGAAGATGAGTTGTCCCACCAGTATGTCTTATGTAGGTACCTACCTGGTACCTAGGTAGGTAGGTATATATAAAAGCTCATTTTATTCAAATAGTGTTCGTTGATGATATATTCATTCTAAATAGACTTATAGGATTAGGTACCTCTTATAGCAGAATAAAAGGGGTTTATGAAGTCGATAGCGACTTCTCGGCCCGCTCATTCATGAAAGGTAGATAGTGATCCCGCCCCCATCATAGTTTTAGCCGTTACTTTCGTAATAATCAGTTTCCTCTTAGGTAATATTCCGATCTCCTTTACTTCCCGCTATTGCTTGATGTCTTCCACGTCCGTTCCCAGCCCTTCAGCTGGTCGGCCATCTGCCTCTCGCAAGACATGCCCACAGCGACTCGTTCATGGGACTGCCTGTAAAGAACGAACCGTACGAGAGTCGATGGTTCGGGTTGAGCTGGCCTGTCGCCAGTTGGTTTCCCGGCTCTCAGGGTGTTAGAAGAACTACCGAGTGTGGTGGTGGTGGTAGTGGTATTGATGCTGCTGCTTGCAGATGGCCTATGAGAAATTGGTCTGCGCTGAAAGGCTTGTGTAGCGCTTACCTGTTATTGCCCATGGTTGTCGATCACTCGGAGTTCAAAGCCAATATCAGTGATATTTTAGGTACCTAGTTATGGTAAATATATCTTTAAACTTAGTTAGAAAATTTAAGATTTATAGGTAATAATTCAATTAGTATCTCTCTTGTCGAGATCCGTAGATATGGTCTGCTGGTGGGATTCCTCAGCAGAAAGGTTGGGAAGACCTTTGCCTTTTATAATTGATATTCATGAGGTACATCGTATAGGAGGCGGCAAGTTATGACCTAGCTGAAAAGCAAACATTCACAATAGTCTTTTACATGGGAAGTCATAATTAATGAGATTGTGTGAATGATTAGATGCTTACATACCCAGTCATCCCCTGTGCGTCCCTTTCCGTCGTTTCCTCCAGGAACCTTGCCTTACTGCCTAATACAAAGTCCTTTCCCTACTAGTAGCCTGTATGTAGGGAACTGACGCATCCGTGAAGACGTAGTTCCCAAGAGCCTCAAGTCCTTGGTACTTGGTGTAAGCTGATTTTCGGCCTGGGGTTGAGGTTCAGGCTTTAGTGTAACTGGTCTGCCTGAAACACCCCTGAAAAAAACAATGGAAGTGAAGCTGGCATGCATCATACCTTCAGATGGGAAGGTGAATTGCCAACCACATCGCATTTCGGTAGCATTCATAGGACATATCACTTATCACGGAGAACTATACTGATATGGAATATTTCTTGTAACTGAAGCATCCGATATGCCTAACGGCAAGATTCAGGTCATACCCCCCCATGGTATGTTTCCAACATTGATCATTGAAGATATGACGAATGAACAACTATAATATCTCAACTCTTTTATGCTTCAACCGGCCTCTCTGTGTAGTTTTCGAGTAACTATTGAGTCAATTCTTTTGTTATTCAGGCGTGTGTGTCTACTGGTTGTTTACATTATGGAAGGAATATACCTTTTACGTAGACCGTGAATCACCATCTGACTGGTCAATGAAATAGGACGAATTCTTGTGGGTAAACTACCTCTTATTTATGATATGAATCAAGTAATCATATACCTAGGGCATTATTCACAAGTACCTTTTATAGGTCCCTAGCTTGTTAACATCGTCTATGCCAGCCAGATAAGCAACGCGAATTAAGTACAGAGAGCAAACAAGTTGCATCATCAAATCCATGTCTGGCCCGATTCATCATATAAAACTCTTTTACTCCTATGATTTTCCGAACTGGGACTATCAGCGCCTTTACGCCTTTTCTTGGAACCCTCTTCGGAACTGTGATGCTTACGGATATGGACGCCTCGATTGTCTCGTCGACTATAAGCTTTCTCGCAGAAGCCGCATTTGTAGGTCGTGCTACCGTGAGTAGATGAAATGTGTTTACTGAGGTATGCTTTGGCATTTTCTTTTTTACCCTTGGGCCTATAATTGCAATGCGGACACTGCTGGATTTCATTTGACAACATTGATGTTGCTGAACTTGGTGACTGTTCCCTATTTGAAGATGGTATTGTTGAGTCTGGCGATGAAAGAAGGTCCACCAGTATAGTTGGTTGGAGAGGATCTATTCTTTTGGTAGCAGTAAACGAATGTACACATGCGTCAAGGTTCGAATGTGATGGCATATCCGTGGAAGACATAGGCGACGGTATATTTCCGACCGCCGATAAATTCAAAACGTTCATATGACGTGTCGTATTCTCCCAAATCGGAACATGTAAAGGGGAATTCAAGTGGTTCATCTGAATAGTTAAGGAATGGCCTCGCGATTCGCGGAATCCTCTTTGACCTTGGGACATTGGAGGTATGGATATATGACTTGATGGAATGTCGTAGAGTTGCGCCGATGATGAGGGCTGCCAGGTGCTATATGCAAGGTCTAGATGATTGCTGTTGGGGATTGCTTCTTGGCTAGTAACCCCTCCAAGAAAATCCATGTACTGATCATCTTCTGATGGACAGTGATGCCCGGGCTGACTACTAAAAGCTGACTTCGGCGACTCTGTAGGGACTGTCGATGATGTGTCTATAGTAGCTGTCCTAGCTATGTTAACAGACGGTAGCTCTATTGGTAGGTCGAGCGAAGGAGAACAGTTTGAGACGACGTGAGGGAAGTTGTAGACCTCGCCGTAATTAGCATCTCCACGGTCCGAAGCCGGAGACTTTTCTTGCAATTCAAGTAGTATGGATGTATCCATGAGTTCCTCTACCCTGGCCCCTCTTACAGTGTCATTCATCTCCTGCGGCATCTGGATTGCAGCGGGGTCATAAATGGGACTGATGGAGCAGGGACGGTCGTGTATTCCAGGGAACGGAGAAGGATAATGCTTATACTCTACTGTCTGGCCGCATTCCTTACAATGACCAAAGGGCGTCATTGCACTTGAACGAGGGCTGACAATATCCTTCACCGTATCAACTGTAGCCCTGATTGTATTTTGGAGCCTCTGTCTCATCTTCGGCCGATCCCACGAGCACTTCTTGCTAGAGGTCGTTTGGAATTTCTCAGCGTCGTTACACTTGAGTCATAATAGTTAGCGTTTTGCTCTATCCCATCTATAGTTGTATTTCAGAATGATCGACCACTTGGTCAACTTGAATGAGTGCCTAAGGTACCACCTACCTAGGGTAGCTTAGGGACTGTACATGTACCAAAGAAAAAGGGGGGCAGGGGCAATGTGAACCCACAATGTAACATACTGTTGGGCATCGAAAAATCCCTTGGGAGAAATATTTACAACCCTTGAGGTGTCGTAACATATCTCTCGCGTCAGAAAAGTTGCGTTGGGGGCAATTTTCCATCAAACAGCGGCAATCTCTGAACGACGTAGGGTCGTTTTCGAGGAGATGGAACTCGACCGCCCTGCTATAGAAGCGACCCTTATAGCATTTGTCTATTACACCCTTTTGAAGACTACGTATATAAGTTAGTTTCACATCTCCGCGGGATTTGATGATACCAACAAGCAAGGTTTGTTTATGTTCCTAGGACTTAGAGGTTCCTCGAAGAGGGTAGGTGATCGCTCATCCTTGTATTCTTCCTGGTGCTTGTATATCACTCGCGCCGGTATGGTATCAACAAAGCTACTACCCATTAGTTCGGATATGTTACTGGTGTCGTTTGAGTGTGGCTGATAGAAAGAGTCCATGTTGGCAAGCAGTACCATAGATCGTTATTTTCGTCCGCGTCGAAAGGAACAACACGCTCTACTTCATCAAAAAGGGACCTCCACAAAGCAATAAAATCCTTTCGCCATGTCTTTAAGTACCTAGCTATACTAGCATGCGGCTCAACTTCGATCGAGTATCCACCCCTCCTTTCCCTTCGATGGATATAGGCGAACGTGAGAGGGACGTGGTAGTTAGGATGTCGACACGAATGTACCCGAACCAGCGGGGTTTAGAGCATCAACGAACCTGTATGCGGTTTCCCTTCTCCATTTCCCTTATGCGTACCGATTGCCCTGTTAGTAAGGATCGAAGGCTCTGAAGGGGGCTTCAGGGAAGCGTTGCTGCACCATTGCTTGCGCCATGTCTTCCTAGTCTCGTTGTTACACTCGGCCTGGATGTTGAGTAGGATGATAATTCTGCATTTATCGCAGGAGCGATTGTGATGAAGGGTCGAAGTGGATTTAAGGCAGCGAGTTCTTCTTAGGGGGGGGTGTGGGTGAAGGACTGAGATCGGTTGCCTCCTCATTGCGAACCATTTCTAGCGATGGCGCTCACCTCCGACAAAGGGGCGAGGATGAACTCACAGGTATCCTGCAATGCCCTTCAACAAGTCCAATGCCTAAGGTGGATATTACGACACAAGCCCATTGGTGAATTTCGGTCGGAAGCTTGGTATTGAGAGGAAAGGCGTCTTTGCAAACCATTTGCCTTGTTTAAGACGGATCTACCTCGTGAACCTGATGACGAGGACCCTAGGACGTCAGCAGGGATTACGTTGTCTAGGAACGAGTGAAAAAAAGAGAGGCGGGGAACACTCGCTAGAAAGGCGTCTCTCGAAGACTATAATGAGCAAGCCGTACAAAACAAACAACGGCGCCAAATATCAGGATCAAGAGCTAGTTATATACTACAGGACCCTGACTACTCATGAGATCAGTGTCGGTTGGGAATTTTTGGGGTCCATTGTGGCTATGATGTGGATTTTTCTATATATAGGCAAGCTATAAGCCTGTCTAAGTCCGTACGCGGTGGATTGGGATTAGGTGCAAAGGTCATATCAGCGCTTCATCTTTAACAAGAGGAGAGCCTTGTCATCGTGTACCGATACTACTTCTTTAACGTACTACCAGACTACCCGTGGGTACCACAGAAATAGAAGCAGATATGCAGGATATGACCAGGGTGTCTGTCCTATGTCTACCCACGATGTCAAGCAAGCTAGTATTAATTTCCATCATCGTAGAAATATCCGACTGGTACCTTTGATAGTATACTCCACGAATTAGTAGAATTAGTATATCTTAGATACCAGAGGAGGGGTAGACACCACTATATTTTTAAATCTAAGCGTAGGCGGCGCTCAAAAAAAAAAAAAAAAAAAAAAAAAAAAAAAAAAAAAAAAAAAAAATAAAAAAAATAAAAAGGGGGGGGGGGGGGTAAAAATAAAATAAAAGGTGGACCATGGAGAACAC